CGTCCGACGCGCTTTGGGGTCCTCGAGGCGAGGATCATCCTTCGTATGGATTAGGGCATGAGGGGGGACGATCTTGTTGGGTGGTGCCACAGATCCTAGGTTCTGCATTATCCTTTTTTTGTCGTGTGGTGCGGTCTTTCACGAAGCTAGACTCGGCAACGGAGACCACGCGAGGCGGCATTCGTCTATCGAGCCTTTCTTTGGCGGGGATCCGTGTGATTTGGTGTGTCCTGCTGTGAGAGTGGATGGAGGGGGGCGACCTTCTTGTTGTATCTTGCTTTTCTTTGTTGGACCGCGCTACACCTTTGTCCGTCCGACGCGCTTTGGGGTCTTCAAGGTGAGGATCATCCTTCGTACGCGTCGGGAAATAAGGGGGGACGGTCTTGTTGGGTGGTGTCGCAGATCCTAGGTTCTGCATCATTTCAAAGATCTTGCCGACCTTCTCTTGCATTGCTCGGAACTGCACAGGATCAACTACTGCTGGAGGCTGTGGAATTTCTTGATGCGATGGGCTGCGATGCCGAGACTCCCAAGATGGGGATCGACCTGTTGATCGTCCGGGCTAGTGGGCATCTTGATCGCTTTCTTGATTACGCGATAGGGAAGGAAGGATTTTTGGGAAAGGCTTTTTGTGTGTTTCCCACAGACGGCGCCAATCTGATGTTGCTCAATCCGAGGTGGTGCATGAACTGAGGAGAGCAACCAGATAGTCCTTGCCAACAGGGCAATGCCGAGCTTCAAGGACGAGGCTGCGCTTCAAGACCTGTGATCAAGAAAGAAAAAGTTAGAGGTCCGAGGAGTTATCCCCAGGTAGGTACCTCGATGCTCAAGTCAGTAGGAAGTGATGGATGATTGGGCCGAGCTATAAGGATGTTGGTCCGGGTAGAATAGTAGTATGGGTGTCAGAAGTTAGAATCTCTTACCTTAAGCATGGAATACCTTTTTATAGTCGAAGATCCGTCTCCTGGTTGGACTGGGCTTCCGGGGTTGTCGGGATGAGGTTGCCCGCCGAGGTATTCGGGGCAGAGTCCTAATCCCCGACGGAGTTGTCTTCCCCACTCCTCTTTATTCGTAGTTATGCTTATCCGCACCTCGAGTAGCTAACGTGGCTGGGGGGCCACAATAATAGCGTAGCCTGGCCCAAGTCGTGGAATGAGCGTGTTGCAGAGCCACCAGCCGAACTATGCCGATGTGGCTAGGCTGGCTGGGCGATGACTGGGCAGCCACATGTCTCTCTTGACCAGCTCAACCATGACCCGAACAAAAACCCAATCTAATTTTGTTTATTATCTATGTGCATTAGGTTTTCATGATGTAGCAAGTGTGAATTGGATGAGTATGATGATGATATTGGGAAATCTAACTGACCATAAAAAAAAAAAATAGAATAAAAAAATGGAACTAAACCTATAACCAACCTAGCAGGTTTTGCATGTAGGGTTTAATGGTCCAATGGTCCAAGATGTTAACTTTGTGCCAGAGCCAAAATTAGTCTCTTTTGTCTTTTAATTTCTCATAACTTTAACCCTATAAAAAATGAAAAAACATCAAATCCAAAGTATATTGTAGTAACAAAACTTCTCTCTCTGTATATATAGCAACTCAGGTTCCGGTGGTGGTTAGGTAATTTCAATGCATTTTTCTATTTTTAAAATTTTATTTAATTATTAAATCTTTTTCTTATTATAAATTCTAAAAATAAATCAAAACCATCTAATTTAAAAACAAATTATAAAATGATGCAAAACGATAAAATGTATCTACTACATATTCCACTGTACATGAAAGATGAATATAAATGGATAAAATGCAAAAGGATAAACAGGGGATGGGGGTAGTACGTCCCCAAACATCACAAAAGCAAATGAACACTAGATCCCATGGAAGCTCGTTAAAAGAAAATGATTGATCACTAACTATCTGATGAGCTAATCAATTTATCGCTTGATTTGTTTCATGATAAACATGGCATTACCTAATATTATGATTCATCCGCATGCCGATGACACTCTTCAATGATGTTCCTTAATCTCCATAAAGAATTCACATCCATGCGCTACAACGTTCCATATGCGACAGTGGGGCAAACGGTCAATGACAAGTTTAGAATCTCCCTCAATGGTAATAGGCAGATCTAGGACGACATTGTGACATTGTGTGCTACTCAAGCAACCCACTGGATTGACAGATAGCGGGGACAGCTGGGCTTCTAGAATGTTCTTGATGTGTGGTGTATGCTGACACTTTGACAGGATGCATAATGCGTTCAATAACTACAGCGAACCAGGTTGTAGACTTGTAGATGTAGTTGTAGGCCCCCGTATTCGTTGTCAAAGTTCCAATCCAACGGCTTTAGACAGAGAATGACACCATGATGGTCTTCCCTAAACAAACACATCGGTAGTCTTGTAGTAAATTTATTTAAAAATCAAAAAGCCATCGGCATTCGAGTTCGAGGTGAGCTTTTGCTGCTTCACAGTTCACCCATTTTTACCGTTGAAAAAGAAACCCGGGCCCAACGGCTATTTTCTTCTTTCCCTCTATAAATGGACGGACCCTCACTGAGTCTGAGTAAGTCTCGCTCGGTCGCTCTCTCCTCCCTCTCTCATTCTCACTCTTTGGTGTTTGATTGAAGTTTTTACTCTTTTTCTCTGTGACCGTGTTTCCTAGGTTGATTATCAATGGCTTTCTCAAGACCTCTAGCTTCATGCATGTTGCTCGTCTGTCTCCTCTTCAGCTTCTCAGAAGCTAGAGAGATCTTAGTTGGCGGTAAAACAGACGCATGGGAGATCCCATCCTCTGAACCCGAATCTCTAAACCGATGGGCCGGAGCATCTCGTTTTCAAATCGGAGACTCACTCGGTAACATTCCATCTTTCTATTCCAAGCTTTTTACTCATCTGGCTTCATTGTTTCTGCTACTCTAGTTATAACACGTTTGCTCTCTGCTCTGATCCAGTGTGGAAGTACGATGCCAACAAGGACTCGGTTTTGCAAGTGACCAAGGAGGCGTACGCCAGCTGCAACGTTTCGAGCCCCATCGCTGAATACAAGGATGGAAACACCAAGGTTGTGCTTGACAGATCAGGGCCTTTCTATTTCATCAGCGGAGCTAATGGACACTGCGAGAAGGGGCAGAAGCTGATTGTGGTTGTGCTTTCTCCGAGAAGTGGGTTCATTAGCTTTTCTCCGGCTGCATCTCCGTCTGAAATCGAGGCCCCTGCAGTGGCTCCAACAAGCAGTGCTACAAGCTTAAAGGGTGGCTTGATGGTGGTGCTTGGGATCTTGGTGGGCATGGTTTTGTTCTGAGAACAATAGATCAACTGGGTTTGCTGGATTCAGGGGATTATATTTGATTCATTTATTGATTTATTTTTCTGGGGATTCTTTTTTGGGCATGAATTGTTACAATTACTGAAATTATAATGAAATTTATACAGATGGATTGTCTTTATGTCTTGTGTTTTTTCTTTTTCCCATGTTACTTGAGCAAAACAGAGGTCCAACTATAACAATTCTATAACGCCACTGTTCTTTCTGTTGTCTCAAAACGCCAACATTTCTCTCTGTGATTGCGCTATTGCACTCTGTTATTCCCAAGTGGCTACGCCTTCTGTGCAGCTGTCAGTGGCTTTTGTCAGTGTCTCCTCACACCCCCACCTCACCATATACCATGGGAGGTGTTCCTGAAAAAACAGAGGTCCATCATGTGCAACTGCAGTATACTGTGAGATGGGTGTGAGGAGGGATTATACAAGGAAATCCGAACTTCTTATGGGGATTGGGAGTTTGGATATGCTCACTGATACAACCTCACACCATCCAGAGTATACTACACTATGTATTGGGAACACCACACCACACTACACTATACATGTGAGGTCAGTGTGAGGACTGACGAGCAGATCCCAACTCAGAGTACTCTATTGTGCATTGAAAACATCTCCTTGTAATTACGGCTGTCACCAAGATTGGGGCATGCATGCTCCTGCCGTTAGCGTTCGTTAACAATTTCATCACAATCCATTTGCATGTGACATCAAATAATTTTTTTTAAGACCCAATGTTATATTTTTTGTGGTTGATTTTACCTTTTTTTTTTATTCTTCAAATTTTTAAGGAAAAATTCCTAATCAGTGTATCAAGTCAGTCCCTGAACTTCAAAACATGTATATATATATATATATATATATATATATACAGTATGCTAAACATTAGAATGTTGTGTATAGGTCCATGTCGGTAATGATATGTCAGTTATCTGTATCACGTAATGTCATATGCCACTTAAAACTTTTAAAATATCAAAACTACCCTTAAAAGAAGATATTGTTTATTGTGCCATTACTATGATGGTGCCAATAACTGATGACAGTGCCATGAACAGATTTGAACAAACCGACAAGGGTGCCAGAAATTGACCAAGTTCCGGCCACAGATGAAAAACAACACTGTGGCGGAAAAACAAAACCAAGAACAGTCATGTTGTCAAGCAGATGTACTCACCAGCCCACTACTTCAAATCATTGAATGTATGGTAATGCATATTACGATAAAAAACACAGTCTTTGCCTATCCTGTGCAATTACTGCAACTTGGCTTTCCGGGCATTGAAGGAGCAAACACCATGAAGTTGAAAGCTACATTACCTATCACTAAAAGACAGCCCCGTTAAATAATTAAATAGGTATGTTTCAGATCTTTAATCCTGTGCTATATAACAAAATCAATACCCATGGAGACTTGGATCCCCAATGTATTCTGCAATCAGCTCCTTGCTCTCATCCATGGATATATCACATGTTGATCCTACAACATCCACGAGCACCACGACGTCCCCCTTTTCAAATAGGGCTTCCACTTTTGAAATCTTTGCTAATTATTCTAATGGACTACAACTTCCATGGATATGACTCACCAACCAAGAAACTTTGTTCTCCTGTTTCTTCTTCCCTGCGGCTACTTGTCGAAATGTTGCTCCATTGTCAAATTCCATGTCGTCACCTCTTCTTCCCTCTTCTCTCTCTCTTACCGTTCCTCCTATAGTCCTTACTACCATCCCTCTTTTCTCTATTATAACCATGACTACCTGGTCGGACAGGAAAAAAAAAACTACAGGGAACAAAGGAAATTTCTAAGAAGACTTACTGAAAGCTCTCCACTATGTCAGGCTTTCTTTCGAGGACCCTCATGACCAGCCCTAAGAGAGAGAGAGAGAGAGAGAGAGAGAAGAAGAAGAAGAAGAAGAAATGAAAAGAGAATAGAGAGAGCGCATTACCAAATCATCAAGGTGCAAAGGTGGTTTGAGTCATCACTGAAACTTGGTCAGTCTCAAGGTAGAAGACAATAAAAGTAACTGACAGACTGTTAACAATAGAGACTTATTAGACACATTTTGAAAGTTCATGATACTGTACTGTAGAGATACGTTTTAAAGTTCAGAGACCAACTTGATACAACCCCTAAAGTACAGGATACTGATAAGGAATTTTCCCAACTTTTAAAATAAAACTCAACGGCCATCTTTATGCTTAAAGGAGAACAAGATGAAAGAGCAAATGATAGCATCATAAAGAGGTACCCAGCTCTGGTCATATTCCCTTTACAAATTGGGAGATAGGTCATTGTGCTAGTGACAAAATAATTGACGATTCATTACATTTCAAGGGGAGGATGCATGCGAGTTAATAGTATTTTCCATATTAAAATATCTAATTCTATGGATCATTATGATGGGAAGAAATATATATCATTAAAAAGCTGTATTTTTTTTTTTTGAGAAAAAAGCCCATGGGCATATTATTCCATTAAAATTTCATCCAATACGAAGAAATAAAGCACAGAAGACCAAGTAGTGGGCCTGTCAACCATACAACCAAATTTAGCCAAGTTGTGAGATATTCTGTTTCCTGTACATGGAACATAGGAGATATTGGTAACTTGAAAATTCTACAAAATGCAATCTGCAGCGATAACTGAATGAATTCACCAAGGAATGTCACATTGAACATTCAACAAGAAACTTTAAACCCCTAAATATATTTGCCCGTCAATCACTTGTTTTATTTTCTGGGCTGCAACGCATGCTCTAGGTTCCAATGGCATGTCTCCCATGGATGGCCTGCTGTCACTTGTCACTTTGTTCATCCAAAAACTTCTCTGTGGCTTCCACAAATACAAGGTGAACGGATGTGATTAAGGGTGTCAGGTTTTGGATTGGACCCGTCCAAACCATAATTAATTTGGATGGATTAGACAGACCTGGTCCATTTGGGTTGGATTGAACTAATATCTGATCCATTGATAGAAGATAAGAATATAGTGTCAATAGATCAGGTTTAGGTAAGAATTAATCTAAATTAGAACAAATTTGAACAGATTGGACAATCCAGACATTAAATTGGACCTATCCAAAATGGTCCAAAATATTTATTAGATTGGATTAGACCTGGCCACATTGGACTGGATCAGATTGGACCAAATTCAGTTCATTTGACACCCTAATTGTGATGAACCAACTAATAAGCGGGGCCATGATCCACAATAAGTGGAGACTGGAGGCCAGAGACGCCTTATGGTTTGACAATTTGGGATTTTCTGACACAACACTGAAGTCTGAACCGACTAACAAACATCAGAAACAAGAATCAAAGAAACTCTCATTTTGATGTAGTGTTATTTTTTGGCTTTTAATGATTTCGAAAAGCATATGTTTTTTACTCAAATTATTATCATATATTCAATAACAAAAGTTAAATTTCTAAATTACAAAATAAAAGCATTTCAGAAAGATTAAGCAAGGTTTTAAAAACCGACCCGGAAACGAAACCGTTCTAACTACCGGTTTCCAGGTCAGCGGTTCAACCGTCCGGGTTGAACGGTCAGATGGCTTGCATATTAAGGCAAATATTTTATACGAGTTATGAGATTTGAGAAAGGAGAGAAGAGATGTCAGCTGAGAAAGAAAAAAAAAGAAGAAAAGAGAAAAAAAGAAGGAAAAAATAAAAGAAGAGAAAGGAAAGGAATGAGGGAAGAAGGAAGAGGGTGGTGGTTTGACGCTCACCGGCGACGGTGACGGCAAGGCAGCAGCAACAGACACAGATCTGAGTTCTCGGATCTTCTTCTTCTTCTTCTTCTTCTTCTTCTTCTTCTTCTTCTTCCTCAGATTTGAGACACAAACTCAGATCTGAGACACGTATGTTTTCTGACGAAGAAGAGAGTTCCTGGGTCAGAACCGCTGTCCGGGTCAAACAAATCGACGGTTCGACCGTCCGGATCAGCGGTTTTTTGCCCAAGAATGGGTTAGGGGTGAAACGGAACCGGTTGCTTGGACAGTTTCCGGGCCGAACAGTCCAACCGTCCAAGGTCAACGACGATTTAAAAACATTGAGATTAAGTAAAACATAACAGAGCAGTGGGCAATATAAATAGTCGATATGAGACTAAGAGGGAAACTAACCCTTAAACCTAATGAGCCTAACCAATTCTCGTGATCCCCCTTCACCCAATAGATTATAAATAGTCCATTTTGAAAAAGCAGAAATAGAATAGAGCAGTGACAAATATTTCAACCATGAATTAGACTAGTGTCTTGTTTGAGGATACTTTAAAAAATTTTCCCAAAAAACAGTTCCAACAAACAAGACACTAGTCTAATTCATGAGTACAATTCAGGGTGAGTATGAAATGCTGATAAGTGTAAATTTGAGTAATTCTAGCTGTATTGAAAGAACATGGGAATACCAAAGAAAATTAGTTTTTCATGGTAAGAAAATATCAGATATCTATAATAGAAGAAATGACATCATTTCTATGTTCTTTTCCTTTTTTTTAGTAAAATGAAATTCTATTATCCTTTCTCAAAAAGAGAAGATGATGCAAAAGATTCATGCTATATATCCAAATCAGCACCAAAGGAAAGTTGCCATTAATCCAATGTAGTCTCAACCAGTTGAAGGGTTCACAAAATTAAACTTTGATGGAAGCAGTGAAGGCAACCCCGGGCCTTCAAGTATTGGAAGTGTATTCAAGATTCATGAAGGACAGGTCTTGGCTCTATTCTCTGAGTCAATTGGTGTAGGAGATTCTCTCAAACTGAAATTTTGGCTACTTTGGAAGGGTTAGAAAGAGCAAAAGAATTAAAATATTCAGACTGATAATTTAAGGCAATTCCAACTTAGCTATTGGCTAGTTAGAAAAATAAGAGAATGGACTGTGGGAATTTGCAAATGAAAAGGAAAAAAAAAAATCAAATGGTTCTCCAGAGGCATGGAAGTGAGATTTCAGTGGGTTAAAAGGAGTGCCAACTCCTTTGCAGATGTTGTTCTTGGGGATGGCTAAGAGAGTTTCTCTCCTCTTGGATGTTGTAATTGTTGTTCTTTAATAAAATTTCTGCTATTGATCAAAAGAAAAAGATTCACGCCATATATTAAGTAGGACAACAAAGACAATGACTTTTTTTTTTAAATCAGTAAAAAAATAACTTTCTTGATCATAAGTGAAATGATGTCAAAATACAAACATGGCCCCTTATTAACCCCCAACCATCGTAGAAAACTACTACCCAAAAAATTAAATCCTTTAAAAATACATCAGAAACCATGGATTAGATGCTATAACAATGTTCTGTCCATACCAAATCTTGCTAAACTAATACACCTGATCAAAGTGAAAGAACTATTGCAAGAAAAATCCACTATGCCCATTGGCGTAGCCTTGGGCTAAAACACAGGAGTAGTTGATTTCACCTCGAACTATTCACTGTAGAAGCAAGAGCTCTAGCTTTTGTGACGTGATATCCCATTTGCCAATGTTGCTCATCCAGCGCTCCACAACACCATGTAAATCTCCTGTTTCAGGCCTCCAGAGCCCAATAACTACATTACTCTCAAATCTCAATCCCTGCAATAAGGCTAAAATTTCTGCTCTAATAGCTTGTTTCATGACAACTATTATTAAAATCTTAGTTTCATACATGCTTCTAATTAATAACAGATGAGAATTTAATAAAATTAAATAACCTCGGTCCACTTTCTCCTGTTAGACAGTTATGCCCTTAGCTCCAATCAGCATAGTTTTCAAAGCGCCAAGGCGAGGCTAGGCAACCACAGGGTGGCGAGGCACCTAGGCGTCGCCTAGGCGTTGGAATTTTTAAATATTAATTTTTTTGAGTTTTTACTTTATCTATGCTTTTGTAAGCTATTTTATTGGTTTTCTGTGCTAACCAACAAGCATGTACACTAACTATTAACTCTATAAATCATTCAAATGAGTATAAAAATATAAATTTCATATAACTAGCAAGCATGTACACAGTACACTAACTATACACTAACTAGCAAGCATGTACACTAACTATTAACTGAAAAAAATAAATAAATAAATAAGTGCAGGAACTAGGAAGGGAGGAGAGGAGTATAGGGGTGGAAGAAGAAAGGGAAGAAGAAGTATAGGGGATTAGGGGCAGGGAGGAGTATAGACCCCTGTTTTTTCAGAAAAAAAAAAAAAAAAGGGACTGAGAATCTGAGACTATCAACTGAGAACAGTCAAGGGCGGAGAGGAGTATAGGGGCATTGCCCCTGTTTTTTCAAAAAACAAATAGGGGACCAAGACTAGGACTAGTGACTGAGAACAATCAGGGGTGGAAGAAGAAGAAGAAGAAGAAGAAGAAGAAGAATGAGTGGAGCTGTGGAGGAAGGGAGTTTAGGGGCGGAGTCCCTGTTTTTCGAAAAAAAAAAAGGAAAAAAATGACAAAAGCTGGGTTGGAAGAAGAAGAAAAAAACTTACCTGCTGAAGCTGAGGTGCGATGGAGTTGGGCTGGGGAATGAAGTCTTCGGTTCTCCTCCCTCTCCAATGGAATTGAAGAAACCCTTATGCATGTAACCGAAGAAGAAAAAAAACACTTTGTATTGTTGTCTTAATAATAAAATAAAGATAGTATGTAACCGGTTTTATTTTAAAAGAATAAAACATCTAATAAAATAACAAATTAAAAAAAAAAAAAAGATAGTAGATGTATGTAGGTGCCCGCTTAAGTCTCTGGGCGAGCGCCTAGTATACAAAATTCAAGGCGTTTGGGCGAGGCGCCCATGGAAAATCGCCTAGTCGTCTAGGCGCCCGCCTAGGCGTCGCCTTGACAACTATGCCAATCAAATTGATGTACTTATTGACATTTATTGTAAATGAATAAAGTGCATAATTGATTCATGTTATTTTGGTGTGTTTCTGTGTAATACCCTTAAACTAGACACTTATAAGACTCATGTTAGTTTAGAACCTTCACAGCCATTGGATAGATCTAGGGAGATTTATCCTGCCAAGGCTAACACTGATGTGCCGCCAAGTGGGTTGGTGTGGCTTATCTCAGCTGCCAGGATGAGACCTGAGGTACATGCAGTGTGGGTTTTCTTGAAACCTAAAACCGGACCAAATTCTAGTATTGCCCTGGACCTTGGAGGCAGATGGGCAAAACTGGAATGTTACACCTGACCCCTAGACTCGATTATGCTACTGCACTAGGTGTCGGATTAGGCTGTCTTTGATATGTCAATCAGTGAGATCCTTAGCGGGGGTCAAAACCTAGGTATATTGGGACAGTTTGAGAATTCACCTGAGTGGGTGATCATAATGACAGGATCAGCCCCTTTGCCGGACAAAGTGAATGATTGGGGAATGCACTCTCTCTGATGGAAACCTAAACTACCGGCAGTTGATTTCAAAGTGTTGAGATTTGTTTTGCAAAGTATATTTACATAGAGATATACATATATATTATGGTTTCACGAAATGTTTGCAAAAGGTTTTAATTCTCGGGATCCATGTGAGTAGAGAGTGCAACATTGTACCTTGCAGTCGAGGGAGAGGTCCTCTCTTGTCGGGTAGTGTTTGATCATTATGGACTGAGAGGTCAAGTATAAGACCATTGAGGGTAATACCTGATGAGCTAATCTAGCATCTGCCCACAGTCCTTGGGCCTTAATAAGGTGGCTGGACCCAAGAATCATTTAGTGTAAATTTGGGCCCATTAAAAGCTCATACTGATGGACTCAGGGGTTCACTATGTTCTGCAGTGAATTCAGCCAGGCCTTGTAACAGAGGCTGAGCTAAGCCCATGTGGTTGATGTGTAGATCAATGCTAGGGTCCCACGCCATACAAAGAGAACCAAGCTAACCAACATTTAAAGGGAAAGTGAGCTATGTGACTAAATGGGCCTAAAGCCCATTTTGAACTAGGCTTAAGTCAGTTAATTAAAAGGGGCGAATTCTGATTTATAATATGATCAGGATTAGGTAAAAGATAAGTCTTATCCATTTAAGAGTCCATATCCAAATATCAGATTTGGATCAAGAAACTTTTTCCTAATTGGATTAGGAAGCTTATCCAAAGAAGGTTATAAATAGGGGGCGAATTCACCAATTTATACACTCAGCAATCTATAGAATTCTCCTCCAGTTCACGCCGCCCCGACCCAATTCGATCTCCACTCTTGGATCTGATCAAGAATAGTTCTTGATATTGTTTCTTGCTAGAAGAAACAATCTAAAGTCGTGCTCACCAGCCCTTTGCGTGATTCTTGCTGAAGAACCACTTTGTTGATCCTGCCTCATCATACGCTGTCATCTCCAGTGGAGACGAGTTTTGGTCACCTCTTTGGGCGTGAGCACCTACGTTGGGAGTTATTGTTATTCCGCATCAAGTACATCCCTACTTGCTTCCTTCTGGTTTCAGATTTGGTTCGGTTTGTTTCAAGAGCGAACCTTGAAAATGCAGTTTTCTAAATTAGGGAATAGGATTCTCGGATGGGAGAAAGAAATTTTTGAAATTTCGCCCAACCATCTTGCATGGTTCAGCCATCCATATGATAGATCTCCCATCCCTTCATCTTCATGTGTCAATATTAACATGTTATATTCATTTGTTAACTAGAAAATGTTTACACCTTTTCATTGGAAGGGCCCTTGTTGTTTCCTACAAAATCACCTGACCAATAATGCTTTTAGTAAAAGGAATAACATGACGTATCTGATGACAAAGTGCCACAGCTACACAATCATTGAATGGGACAAATATAGATTTCTAAAAAGAAAAGAAAATAAAGAAATTCTTTTTAGAGTTTTGAACAAGATATTCAAGCTTTAAACGAGACAGTTTTCTGTTTTAATAACTTGCCACTACTCCTTAACATTCTTAAATTTGGCCTTCTATCTTTTCTGGTTCCCAATGTACTGAACTCCAAGAAATTGAAAAAAAAAGGGTTTTACCAATCAGTCCACCCCTAGGTGGAGCTACTAGTAGACTAGGGGTGGACTGAATCCTACCCGTGGATTGATGCCAAATTCATGGGCAGTATGCGGTTTATAGGGGGGCTACTAGTAGACTAGGAGGGGGCTGCAAATTCAATTTCTGAGGGGATTGCAGTCCAAAAATCCCAAAAAAATGCAAAAAAAAATACCAGAAATTGCATAATTTTTGCAGAAAATACCAGAAAATTGCAAAAAAACATGAAAACACCAGGAAAATGCAGAAATCATGCAAAACAAAACCAAAAATTTACAGAAATATTGCAAAAAATTCAGAAAAATACAGAAATATAACAAAACATTGCAAAAAATGCAGAAAATACCAGAAAATTGCAAAAACAAATAGTAGAAAATGCATAACTTTTGCAGAAAATTTGCAAAACAAATGCAGAAAATACCAGAAAGTTGCAGAAAATGCATGAAAACACCAGAAAATGCAGAAATTAGGCAGAAAACAACAAAACATTGCAAAAAATGCAGAAAATACCAGAAAATTGCAAAAAAATGCAGAAAATGCATAGCTTTTGCAGAAAAATTGCAAAACAAATGCAGAAAATACCAAAAAGTTGCAGAAAATGCATAAATTGTGCAGAAAACACTAGAAAATTGCAGAAATGCAGAAAAATACCAGTAAACTACAAAAAATGCAGAAGAACACTATGACCGTTGGCTGATGGAAAACACATGTTATCACATCGAATTTAAGACTTTCTCATACATATGGCAAGAGAATCCATATCTGCTGCACTTTTCCTCCACACTTGCTGCATTATGTTCTCATACATATGGCAAGAGAATCCATATCTGCTGCACTTTTCCTCCACACTTGCTGCATTATGTAATCAGTGTATGATAATGACAGGTGTTCATGACTGTCAAACCCAGTTACTCTCACATGTACAGGTCTTTAACATGTGTAATGAAACGCCTATGACACATTGCTTGTTCAATGAAACAAGTGCAGGAAAACAGTAGTTCTTGGCTCTCTAGACCACATGACTTTCTTATTCATTCCCAGACAGAAAACAAGCTATTATAGAAACTTTCATGGTCAAAATAATTCAGATTTGATACATAAAATCTACTTGGATACATAAAATATACACAACTTGCATTGAACCTGCTTGCGTACCAATTATCAATGGAGAGAAGCAATTCAGATTTGATTTATGTAAGGAAAACAGTAAAATAATGGCAGAATTTGATAAGATAAGAGAAAAAAGTAGAAGGATAAGATAAAATATTTAGGGGAAAAACTGGTGGCCATAGCCCTCTCTTCATTGATGTATATTTTTCTTTGATAGATGAAAATAACACTAGCACTAACAAACTTAAGGTATGCAAACTGAAAGGTCTAACCAGCTTGGGGGATCACGCCAAACAAAAGAATCACCAGCTTTTCATTGATATATATGTGAAGATATATCTTAATGTACATTATTAGAGTAGTCCTTGTTGTACAGTATCATAATTTCTATTATTTTATTTGTTCTTTTTATCTTTCAGCCCTGTAAGGGCATTCTTGTAACTGTACATACCTTTTATCTCTTTAATATAAAA